ATATAAAAAAATATTAAAACTTTTTATATTTATTTCATGTAAAGTTTATTTTGTTGTATATAAAGTTTATTCAAATTAGAAAGTTTATCTAAAATGTACATTTTAAAATTAGAATTCATTTAAACAGCATTTAACACTATTTGCTTTTTTTTTTTTTGATGAACAATAAAACCAAAAGCTGAAGATTTTTTTGGTGGTGTACCATTCATCGGTGTTTGTATCAGTATTGTAATCAATAATCAGTATTGTTCAATCAGTATTGTTCAATTTAGTGTTAAACATATGTTATCGTAGCGGGTTCGAGTCTCAGGTCTGGCAGGGATTGTAGGTGGGGGGAGTGAATGTATAGTGCTCTGCTCCACCTTCAATACCACGACTCAGGTGAGACCCTTGAGCAAGGCACCGCACCCCCAACTGCTCCCTGGGTGCATTTTGGTGGTGTACCATTCATCGGTGTTTGTATCAGTATTGTAATCAATAATCAGTATTGTTCAATCAGTATTGTTCAATTTAGTGTTAAACATATGTTATCATATTCATACAGTATGTTTTGTTCTAATGTCACAAGTCAAAATCTCAAGTTACTGGGTTTTACACGATTCGATTCTTTTGTGTGGGTTAACGTAGTGTACTTTCACATTTTCACGTGTCCTCCAAAATGACCCACAACCTTATCGGTTTATATGTCAAGAAATCCATTTATTCATAAACTTCTTACAAAATGATTGTTTGACAAACTACTCGGCAAACTTCTTCCTCTCACCGCTGCTTTCTGATGGTTTGGAGAACAATTACTTCGAGTCGCCCCCTGTGGTTCCACAGAATTATACAAAGACGAACAAGTGAAGTGTCAAAAAAGCCTCGTCCGTTTAGGGCGGAGCGCACAGTCAGCAGTTCGCGGTGAGGCAGGCAAAAGTATAAACAAGGCTTCAACTGCACAAACCGCTTCCACTACGAGAGAAAGTGATTCCTCTGCTTGCTGTGTCCCGTGTGAAAGGGCCTTTAAGACAAAAGTGTAGGCCTACTTGTCAACGTTCTACTCCATCTCTATGTAAACGCTTTAGAAAAAGTTCACACTTGATTGAACTATTCACACTTTATATCATCGCCACAATGTGTAATGTCATATCACCCAGCCCGATCATGCACTAATGCTTTAAACACATTTGACAAGCTAGTTGATAAAAAAAACAACAACCGATTAACTATCAAAACTGATTGGCTAAAACTATTTTTTCCTCTTGTTGGTGCTCTTTTACTCTTTCATGTTAACTGAAGGCAAATGATGCACTAGTTTAACTTTAATCAACAAGTACAACTGACCATGACATCCTCATCTTATCTTTTTCCAGAAAAGTCCCTCATCCAGTGCTGAATGGAGCTGTACAGCTGCAGCTTACATGCATGAATGTTGGGGTTGGAGGGAGGGTGCGTGTCTGAACTAGTTGATGCACAAAAGCAGCACCCCGATAAAGAGGGTGGCACAAAGTATTTTATGTATTTAAAAAAAATACAAAAATACTAATCTTAAATGTATTTAAATACAAATTACATTTGATTTTGTATTTCAAATACATATTTTAAAGACATGTATCTGAAAAATTGCCCATCCCTGAACACTGGGCAGTATTTTTACAAACTTTTCTTAGAATGTATAACATAGGCTAAATACAAAGAGTACATTACCACCAAAACTGAGCAGCACTATACAAATTTTACTATCTACCGTTTTATGGAAAAATGAGTCAATTGTGACAGCAGAGTAAGATGAGCTGTGATTGATGGCGAGTGCAGATTTTACAGCATGACCCACATCAGTTCTCACGGATAGAGAAGATAACAGGCATCCTCAGATAGAGCTGAGTGTATGTGACTATGAATACAATCAGCCACACACACACACACACACACA